AGGCTACTCAGTGAAAGAAATGGTCGCAGCTTTTGAGAAGGCTAGTGGACGTAAAGTCCCCACTGAGGTACGATTTGGGGTTTCTGGAGTTACTGTATCTTGGTGTTGTTATCAGGGCACATCCTGCCACTTGGGACTAGGACCACTACCCTGGGTTTATTACAGTGATGTTCTTGTTATCTAGTCTCTTCTACAGCTCAACATTTCTGGTATTCATAGTAAATGCTGTTCAGATTGGCGAGCCAAGAACTGGGGACATCGCTTCAGTGTACTGTGATCCTTCCCGGGCGCTGAAAATGCTTGACTGGAAAGCAGAGTTCGGCTTGGAAGATATGAGTCGTGACCTTTGGCGTTGGCAGAGTAATAATCCCAATGGATTTGCCCAAGCATAACTCTATTGCATGAAATTTTGATGAAAAGTTCTATTGTTTAGCATAGTATAGTCCCTAGGACTGCATGTATTACAGTGCCAACTGAATTTAATTTATTTAATGGGTATTTAGATAAGTTTTATTGAAGTTTAAGCCATTCCGACGTTAACAATGCCTCGTAAGTGTCACTTTCGGTGTTATATTGAAAGGTTGTAGGTTTGATAATCGTGCATGTGGCAATTCATTATGTGGAATAAAGCTTATATTTTGTGAATTGCACTATTTGTAATACATTGGTTGCCCCCAACTACGTGCTCATTTATCTTGAGAGCATACTGTACAGAGCGTATCTCGCCCAGCTGCTCCGACATGGTCCTATTGGGGAAGGCAGGGTAAAATTAGAACAGAAGTGATGGTGTCTTCTTTGATTAGTATAATGAGAGATCCTCCGAAAACAGCCTACAGTCTTGATCGCTGCGGATGATGGGGCGTGTCAGCGGGTTTGGCGCGCCGGCAGCGCGTTCTCCATCAGTTGCTAAAGCGGGGAAACGACAATAATTATTAGAAAACGACTGATACGAACAAGTGATACAGTGTTGTCCCTTGCCGAATGAAAAAGAAAAGGTAGGGCTTGGCGCCACGCCAAACCTTCCCCCCCCCATCATCCGCAGGAAACGAGACTGAACTTTACTTTCCTTATAAAAATGTGTACGGTGGAGTTGTAGCTGCTGCGAATATACCGCAAAGCTTCTCAAATAC